TTTCTATAATCCCATGCTAGGTACACACACACACACACCGTGTACAACGTACTTTGCATGTTTTCTGAATCAAAGCTCAACAGTGGTGGAGGAAATCGAATTTGGTCGTTGAGATGTAACTGCCATCCAAAGTCGTTCGATGAACGGGCGCAATGTCAAGGATAAAAACAAGTGAAACCCCGCGGTTGTTTAGTGGCGGTTAACGTCAAACAGCTTGATAGCAAACCCATTGAAAGCGTGCCAGGTAATCATTGGATGACAAGCAACTGGCGACAGACGAACACGCTACTGCCTTCCAGTTTTGTTCGTGGGATGTCTACTGTTTCCACCCACCAGTTGTATGGAAATCAGTAATTTGCAATTTCTGACCGATTAGCCCAGACTCGATGACGGTGAGCTGTCGCTCCCGGTGAGCCAGATCTGCTCGTCACCAGTTCTCCCGTACGCATTCACCTCATTTGCAACGTATCCATAAAATGGACTTTTCACAATCATTTATAGAATAGCTCATAACATCGATCAATTTAATCACGGCAAATTCGTGTGCATATTTGACAACAGTGTCAGTCTCTACGATCACAATCACAAAGCCATACGTTCTGGGGAACATGAAAGAGGTAATAACGGTATTCGGGGGGATTGAAGGCATTCTTACAGCACGCATCTACCTCTCGTTCATGATTCCTGACGGTCTGATTCCTGAGACTTGGACCGAAAAACCACTTGATTCGCCGGTGGGAAAAACGTGCTGTTGATTTCCGACTGCAATGAAACAGCTGAGTGAGGTTTCTAATATTTTTTTCCCAAATGAATCACATGTAGAATGTTTGTGACAAATTGTGAAAACTGCTAAAAAAAAATATTTGAACAAGTTTGTCAAAGTTTAGTTTTGTTAATAAAATTATGGTATATGTATATTTATATGGTGAACTTTTGTTACTATTCGAAAAATGATACGATGAAATTTGCTGCTCGAAATGGTTTAAAATGCAGAACTTTAGGAACCAAGCTATGCATATTGTCATCATCAAATGTGTGTTGTACGAATACGAACTATCCACTGCACTATCGCATGAGCAACGTCTTCACAAATATGTGACGTAATTACGTCTGCACCGATATAACTACTAAAATTATTATCGAATGCACGGAACTATTTTCCGTTAAAAGTGTAAAGCTATCTCTGACACTCACTGATTGTGGAAAAATCATAATCTTTTGTGTTTATGAAGACCATTGACGGTTGGACGGACTCATTCACGATTGGGTCTTAATAAGTTGCTCTTCTCAATCCTCCGAGCACAAACTCATCTCATCTACTCACCGGATAGGCCGATTGCAATCGAATGAACTACCCAGTAAACCAAATTATGCGTTTGATGTGTGATGAGTGATAGTGTAATGGAACTGAACGCTGGGCGATGCAAATCCCCTGAAACAGAGTTCCGTCTCTCCCTTCCTTTTAGGCTTTACCAGGCGTCCTAACAACCAAAGAACGTTCCCTAAACGGTGAATGACATTCACTCCTTGTTTAAAGTTACTTGTTCTATTTTATCGATCTTATCGACCTATCACGAATCTATCAATCAACATAGTTTTCGTTCGCTCCCAGTCGTTGCGCGTTCTGTTTTTGCGTCTTTATTGATAGCGGTGTGTTGTGTGCAAGGTCCGTGCCCTGAGTAAGTCAAGTCAAGAAGTGGCTTTAATTCTCCCTATAAGGGATGAAAATTTGGCTACAATCACTCTTCACTGGAAATTACATGGTAAAAAAACGTACGATGATTCGTTACATATACAAAAAGCCAATTTAGCAAAGATTTTGTCTGAGAGTCCCAATGACAAGATCAGCGTTGGTAAGAAACCGTGCCAGGTAAGGTATCATAGAAGACTTGTATGTAGTGGTGCGTGCTGCTATATGTTTATACATGGAACGAGTGCTAGATGTGGAGATACATTGACTAAGGTGCGGGTACAGTGGGTGAGATGGGTCAAGTAGCATTCTGGTAGAAAGTTTCTGGCATGCCCTAAGGTGCTGTGAAATAATAAACTGCACAACATACGCAAGGGGTATGCCGCTGTATCGACATACGTGTTTGATGGATGTGCGTATGAGTTTGAAGTCTTTGGTTAAAAGACCCGGAAAAATAACAGGGGATGCATAAAGCCAGTGGGGAAGGATACAGGATAAAACAAAGCACTTTATTAAGTGAGTTGGGGTAGATAGCATCTTCAAACGAATAATGTGAAAGGTGAGTTT